GATGCTGTAAATCGTTATAGAGGTGGACTGTCACATCTTTCTGTGGCACAGTGTGCTGGGGGCTTAAAATCACAGACCTCACTTTGGCCGAGGGATCCTCAGGTCAGCTGGGATCAATTTGTCAAGGCAGGGGAAGGGGATGTTGAACACTTAGTGGCTGCCATGTAAAGTTAGGAGGAGATACCGCAGACAGGTGGAATTCTCTATCAGAGGGATGAGGGATACGGATGGCACAGTGAAATCGGGAGAGGGTAAAGGGCGCAGACAAGTCTGAGAGAACGTAAGTGGCATATCTGTTAGTAGAAAAAGGGGAGGGCTGAAAAATTGAGAAGGGAAAAATTACTAAAAATACTTTTAAGGAGCTGCCGGGGGGGGAGGGGCATATGTGTGAATATCCCTGGTCATATGCACTGAATAAGCCACACCGGCCCACGTTTCTGGACACACCCTGGGGACCTAGGTCAAGTGCCATAGAACACTGGCCCAGGGCACTGAATCCTGGATCCTCAAGGGGCACCACTGGCTCCCAAAGCTGTACCAGAGAGATACAAACTCCAGGATGTAAACTAGACTCTACCTCAAACACACCTGTAACCTGATTCGTGTTGAGTCTGATCTAGTTTTCATCATTTTCTTGGTTTTAAAAAAATACATACATGTGTGTGTATGTTTATCTCTGATGCATATTTTTATTTGGGGGTAGCCCTCTTGAATTTTTGTTATATGCTATTTGTTTTTCAGTATATGAAATTCCGTATTCATGAACCTATAGAGACAGCACATAGAATAATGACTCCGGGGGGTACCATGGGGCAGAACTAACTGGTCACAAATACAAAGAGCCATTGTAGAATGCTGAATTAGGAGGTAGCCTTCAAACTCCCTAAGCTACAAACATCTTCTATTCAAGTGCCAGTAGAGGTCCTTGATACTAATCACATAGTAAGTCCGAAAGAGAGCCTCAAAAAATACATAAAGCTGTATCGCCGATAGTCTCTGACCATAAAAGCATGGGGAAATTGGAATTTTTTCTCTTAAACTCAAGTTAAAGAGAAAACAATAATTGAAATACCATATTTAGGGAAGAAATGCAATAATGAGAGCATTACACTTAAAATTTTAAAGCTAGAACAGTACCAAAAGACAAACACACAGAGAGTAGTGTGCTCCCTATTTAAATCAGGGCTTTTAGCCAGTTCATTCTGGCCCAACCTAGTGCTGAGAATTTGCATTTTCCATTGACATACTAAATCAGAGTCTACATTTTATTGAGTTGTAATAGGATGGTGTAGTACAGTGAACTGTCATCATCTCTGTAACTCCCACGAAATGATTTTTTCTTGATGGGTCTGAATAAGAGAAGGCAGTTCCACCCTGTCCTGCCATGAGTTTGTGGTTTGGGGGAAGTCACTGATTGTATTATGATACAGCTGTGAGTGATTGTTGACAGGTTTAATTGTGATTGCCATCCTGCTGGGTATAAAATGAGCCATCTCAGTAATAGGACAGGGCAGCTCTCATTACCATAGAGAGAGAAGCACCAGGAGTGGAGTGCATCCTTTATATGGACCCTGATAGCCCTGTAGATTAAACCTCCTTGTTCAAGAAGACGGCTTTGAAACCAAGGGAGCAGCACAGCAGCAGCAGCAGCAGCAGCGGCAGAATGGAAGCTAGAATCAGAAAGAACAGTGGAGTGCCAGGCCATAGATCCAGTAAACTGAGTGCCTTTAGGCAGGAGGCTGGCTTGTGGAGTAGTGTGCCTCCAGGCACTTAATTGGGGGAGCAATGGGTGTGACTAAGAAAAGGCTGTCCTTTCTGAATAAATCCTGAGTATTTTCTGTGAGCTCTGTGTGGCCAATGCAATGAATTGATTAAACCCAGCTGAAAAGCAGTGCTGTGAGAGCAACAGTTGTATCAGAAGTGGTAAGAAGGGTGGAAGCATTTCTGAAGTCAGTCTCACAGAAATCAAACTGATAATGGTGATTCTTTTCCTTAGTGAAGTTAGAGGAGGTCAGAAGCCCCGGCCCCCTCCGCCCCCAAGTAATTCTTTTTCACAGGTGGAAATGCAAATCTTCAGCAGGGGGCTAAGCCAGATGAACAGGTTCAAAGCCTTAATTAAAATAAATGGACTAGGCATTTAGCATTCATGAAAGCACATAGGGGTTAGTAAAGATAAAAGCAAAAAAAAGATCAAAACTAAAAACCAGTAAAATTTAAACTGGTTCTTTAGGACAGGAGACAAAAGTCAACAAAATGGTAAAAACTTTAACCAAGGTAATCAAAATTTTTAAAAAAATCAGATGCCCAAAGGAAGCAACAAGAAAAGCAAAAATAATCATGCATATAAGAAATTTTCAATATCTCCATTATCTGGGTAAAGTCTTCATAAAACTGTAAGTTCTTTTAGAAAATATGAAGTATTTCTACCCAAAGCGATCAAAATATTTTAACATTTTAACTTCATCAAAGTGACTTACTTACACAAAATGGTTTCACAAGACAGTTATTTCAGGGAGGTTACAAACTAGTAAAGAGCTAGTACATAGTAGGATTCAGAAATGCCAGTATGTTTGACTGTGCATATGTTGAAATACTAACATTAAACTAAGTTAGGGTAGTGTACATAGCATTTTAGAACTTCAGCAGGTCTTGAAAAATTGAAGGGATACCTGGACAAACCTGGATCCCCATGAAACCGTTGATGTCAGAAGAATGGCTAGCCCCTTCAGATGTGGCAGTTACTGATAGCGGTTCACTCCAGGACCCATTAGGGCGTACTGCACTCAAGGGCCTGGCCAGCCCAGTAAGCATTTAAGCATGATGTAAGGCTTGCTGCTCCCTTAGAGAGTTAATCTTGGAAACTCAAAGGGACAATTTTACCTGGTGAAGCTCATTATGAGTGGGAATCAACAAAATGATAGTGATCAACAAAACAAAATGCTACGATAATGATGGAAAATCAATTACCTTTCATTATTTATGTCAGTTCCCATTGGAATCCACAGAAATGTTTTGGATAAGGTAGGGAGAGTTTAATCAATTAATACTAAAAGTATTTTGTAAACTAAATGTCATTCATTAAAATAGTATTTGAATAAAGAAAGACAAGGGTAAGATTTTCACTATTAATGAACTATCTCACAAATGTCCAATAATTAAAATGCCATGGTACAGTCAAACAAAATGATGTGGGACAGTAAGAAATGCCAAATGAAATAGGACCACCACAAACCTCACGTGTAGTTAAAATAAAGACCGCATGTCAAATTAGTACAAAAGGACAGACTGTGTAATCCTTAGGGTGGCAACACTGATAGAGAATCAGAATACTATGAAATATAACATAATTTAATATTTAGCTTGTTGGGAATCCAAAATCTAACAGCACCCTCCCTTGAAGTAAAAAATCCTTTTAAGCTTAGTCAGTAGGGATGTTTTCACTCAGGATGGTGGTAACCAAGGAAATTAAGGTAAGTAGCCAGGCACAAAGTATCCCCATTTAGCATCATGCTTCACTGCGTATCTAAATGGAGGATATTTGTGCCAAGCTAAAAAATGTTTTCTTTCTTTCTTTTTTGAGCTATACAGAAAGTATCCCCCTTTAGGTAAGGAATGAAGCTTCAGGGCAGTCTGATAACCCTTGATAAAATATAGATCATTATTTGCTATCATCATTGCAAAACCTGCTTTTTTCACATTTTGGGGGTTATCAATTGTTTCCTGTGATCATTAGTAAAACCTGCTTTTTTGTAACATCATTTAGTTTTTTGTCACATTGCTTGATTTTCAAATTTTTAAAGCAGTTTCCCCAGTATTTCCTTCTGTCTCACACTTGCAGAATAAACTTTCTTGAATCAATCTAGTCTCTCTGTCTCTGGCTGAAACCGGCAATCCATGACTCTGTCACACAACACACTGTGTAATGACACAGTCTGGGGCAAGATGCCCTGAACTGGAATAACAGAACAGGCCCAATGACTCTGGACAAGCCAGGGTCCTCATCTGTAACTGAACACAAAAATTGTACCTACTCCAAAGGGTCACTGCAAAGATCATTAGCTAGTATTTATAAAGTACCATATATACTCGTGAATAAGCCAAGTTTTTCTGCACGTTTTTAATGTAGTTTTTGTGGTAAAATTAGGTGCCTCGGCTGAAATTTGAGGGGTCGGCTTATACTCAAGTATATGCGGTAGTTACAATATGTGTAGTTAAGCAAATACAAGTAAGTAACTTAAGGTAACGCTCAACTCCTACAAATAAAGAAACTAGTGAACACAACACCACTATCACACCATATAAACAAATTAATTTAGCGTTTTTTAAAGCGAATGGTTAAAAAAAAATGAAACTAGGAGAAAATAAATTATGTGGCTATCTATAATCAGTAATGACTTTGTTAAATATAAAAAGGTAATATAAAAAAAGATTAGACTATAAAATTTGAAAAATACCATATATCTAGCATTGTGAATTAAAAATAAAATGAAAATTGAAACCAGTAAGGTTGAAATCTTTTTATAAGTCAATTAAACCATATAATCAAGGAATTCACACACACAGAAAATTTTGTTTGATAAAATACATATTATAATTAAAATGTAAATTAAAATATTTTTAACCATCACATAGGCCATTTAGAAAATTACAATGTTGGCTATCAGATAGAGATATCTGTACATGGCTACATGGAAGGTACAATATACTGAAACAACTTGCAGGGATCATTTCAGAAACATACTTCAGGGAAAAAAATTTTTTTTAATATTGAGCCCTTTGGGTCTAGTGGTTTTCTACTTCTAAGACAAAGTTTCCAAGATTTTGCTGGAAACATTTCTAATTACTTCTTGTGAATCAAAATCAAGGAAGAAGAGATGGGATAAGAAATATTTTAAGTTTCAGATATAATGTTTAGAATTTTCAATTACTGAAAAATCTAACACTTAGTTAACAACATAATCTATTACAAAATGTCAAAAAGAAAAAGTTTTAAAACAAACCTTTTAACAGCATCCTTCTTCTGAATATCTATTATATCCCACCACTTTGAAAAGTAAGATATCTCAGCCCATATAAACTTCCTCCTTGAGTCTTCTTTCAGCTTTATGACCATATTATTTAAAATATACTGAGTCTTGTCTCTAAAGTAGTCATCGAAAGTCTTCAACCAACCTAAATCAAGACACAAATACACCACAAAGGTCTGATTTGATTTCAATGCAGTCAAATTTCATTGCATTATTTTTGGATTCTTAGATTTCTTTTAGTCACATAAAGACATTTTTAAAATCTAACAAATGTTTTCAACTAATAAAACCCAATCTGAGTTGACAAGGGACTCACAAAGGCATATTTTAAGAATAAAATGATAAAAATATTCTGAAAACTACACAAATTCAAATAAGAAATGTAAAAGATGTGTACATAATAAAAGAAATGTAAAAGATAGCCGAAAAGGATTTCTGTATGGCTGGGATAATGACCGGAGCCCTGGTGGGGCAGTAAAGGTCAGCAGGATGAACTCACTCCAAGGAAGGAAACTGGGATGGGTCTACTTCTGTCAACAACCTTGGAAGCCTGGTGCAAGCTGCAGTTCTATGCTGTCCTAGAAGGCCACTGAGTTGGAATTAATTCACAAGCAATGGGTACAATAACTATAGTAGGCAATTTTATTGTAATTTTATCTCCAGTTTTTAATTTTAAAAATCTGAACAAATTGACAAAATTCTTCTACACAGCATCAAAATTCTATCTTCGGAAGCACATCTACAAGCCCCAGCCCATTAAATCAGTTAAAAGAAAACCAAAAGTATAAACTGTATCTAAAAGCTAGCATCAGAGTAAGAGGCAATTAGAGCGCTGTCAAGGGTATTGAAAAGTAGAGTTCTGGCAATAGGCACTAGTTCCAAAAAGTTGTTTATTTTCCCTTTGTTTAGAAGTGGGAGGTGAAACTTGTCAAACAAAAATCTACATATCAATGTAAAGTTTGTTTTCAGAAGTAAAAGTATATGTATTGATAGTTTGGTTCGCTGACTTTTTCTACAAAATTCAACTGAAAAATTCATTGGAAGACATTGGTAATTTGACTAGGAAAATTTTTTTTTGCTAGGCTCAATTCCAAACACAGTGTCATACTGTAGATAAAGCAAGCCAAAGAATGGTCAAGGCAAAAATGGCTAGTTACAATTCCCACCTACTGGTGGTAGACAAAAATGGATTCCCTGTAGAATCTCTGGTTTTCATCTAAGGAGTTATGGATGGAGTGTCTACACAGTCAAACAACAGAACTACATAGAGTTCTTCTTTTTAACCTGTCCCACTTTTAAATTAACAGTCAATGCGTACTGTACTCGTTGACAAAAAGTGAATAAATGTATTAAAACTGGTGGGCAGAGAAAAGCAATAAACTATCAGCAAAGCAAAAATGAGCATCTAAAAAGGGTGATGTCACCACTTTAAATGAATTTATCCTTTTTGCTTCAACTGAAATATCCATTCATTCATTCCATAAATAATTTATTGAGCAGCAAAATGTTGGATCAGTCTTGGAATACCAACCACAAAGGTTGGTGCTTCAAAGCCAACCAACTGCTCCACGGGAGAAATATGAAGCTATCTGTTCAACTTGATGGCAGCTGAGTTACAACGTGGCAGGTTCATGACCTCTGAGTCAAATGAAAATACAGTACAAAATATTTGTGTTAATCAGGGAAGACTAGGGAAACAAATCCAGAGAGACTTATATGGGAATAAGAAAGCTTTATATACAAGAGCAATTGAATATTGAGAAAACATCCCAAGCCCAGTCCAGATCAATTCCGTGTCTAATACTAGCCCTTATGTCCTGTGTTAGTCTGGGTACTTTAGAGAAACAAATCTAGAGAAACTCATGTGTAAGAGAAAGTTTTATATAAAGGTTAAGTGCGCATCAAGAAAACATCCCAACCCAGTGCTGCCCAAGCCCACAAGTACATTAACCCATATGTCCAACATCAATCCACAAAGTCCTCCTCCATCTCACAAAACAGACGCAATGATGCCGACTGCAGGAGGAAAGCTGAGTCAGTGAATGTGCAAGCATCTCAGCTCTGGTAGGGCTCTCCACATGGGTGCTCCAGCACCCAGGGCTGCATCGGGGTAGGTCAATGTGGCTTCTCCTCAGAGATGTCTTACGGGAAGTCAGCCTTGCCAGCTGAAGCAAGGAACTGGCTAAGGCAGCTGGACCCTGGTCCAACTATCAGAAAGCATGAGACCCAAGAACTCGAAAGGTGAGGCTCACTGAGCCATTTATCCCTCCGCCCTTCAATTAACCCCACATGTGTTTATTGGCCAGGTAGGTTGGCACAATAAAGTACCTCAGTATAGTTGAAAATAGAAACCTGGGAGACAGCGGATGGTGTAAGATACAAAAATAGTAATAATTTATAATTCATCAAGGGGTCACGAGGGTGGAAGGGAGAAGAGAGGGGAAAAAAGAGGAGCTGATAACAAGGGCTCAAAAGAAAGTAAATGTTTAGAAAATAATGATGACAACACATGTACAAATATGCTTGGTACAATGGATGTATGGATTGTTATAAGAGCTGGAAGAGTCCTCAATGAAATGATCTTTTAAAAAAGTCGTAGAGATGTTTATCCATTTGGTGTGCTGAGAACACTATTAAAACGGATAATAAAATAGCCAAGTGATCAAAAACAAAAAACAAAAAAACTTCATTGTTGCCTTTTGTCTTATCTTTATAAAGGTAATCTTTTCTTGTTTGGGGATTTGACCTGAGAATAATATCAGTAAATTACAAACTGCAACACTATATATGGTACATATTACTAACAAAGGGTATTCCCCCAAAAAATGTAGCTCCTCTGCTCCTGCACAGCCATCCTAACTTGAATTTATATAAAACAAAGACCACCACATAAGCAGTATACTAAAATGCAATCTTCTTTAGACTCTTCACCCCGTAAAAAAAGAAAGAAAGAAAGAAAGAAAATCAAAACTCACTGAGTCAATTCCAGCTCATAGTGACTCTCCTGTGGAGCGGCTTATGGTTTCGAACTGCTGACTTTAGAGATCATAGCCCAACAAGAAACTACTACACCACCAGGGTTCCTTATTTAGGCAGTGAATCTTAGACATACTGGTTATCACATTATAACTTACATATCCAGATAGACCCAGTCTATGCCTTAGAGAAAATGAGTGCTACTCATACTCAGTAAATTACAATTACAGCATGTGGGAAGAATTTATTTTATCAATAGCTATCATAATGTTTAATGTAACATGATAGCTATCACACTGCTAGATGAAGCTGAACCAACCTGTTCCTAAATAACATGTACGTCTGTCTGTACCAGGTTTCTTTTACGTGTGTAACAAGGGCTATGAAAATTATTTAAATGGCACTATTGGAATTATGAAGGAGTCCTCGTGGCGCAGTGGGCTTATTGGGCTGCTAACCACAAGGAGAGCAGTTCTAATCTACCAAGTTCATCAGGCCTCTGAGGGAGAAAGATGCGGCTTTCCACTCCCAGAAACCCACAGGGCCAGTTTTAGCCTCTCCTATCAGGTTGCTATAAGTCAGAAAAATCGACTTCATAGCAGTGAATTTGTTTTGTATTGCTTAATGAGAATTATCACCTCATAGTGATCTTATAGAATAAAGCAGAAGCGTCCCTTTGGGCTTTCCAAGAGTTTAAATCTTTACAGGAACCAACAGTCTCTCTTTCTCCCAAAGAGCAGCTGATGGATTCAAACCTTCCTAATCTATAACTAGCGGCCCAATTCGCAGCCCACTATACCACCCGATCGAGTGAGTTTAGTTTTTGATGTCGTGGTTTATTAGAAGTAACCATCTTTAAAACATCATACAGCCTTTCATTTAACTTTTAACAAAGGTCAAGACTAATTTTTAATTACTTAGCTATTAAAGAGTAATGATCAGGGGAATGCCTCTAGAAGTAATTATAAAACCTCCTATAATCTAGCAAAAAAGTCAAGCTTAGGAGGAGCAGCCTTTACAAAAATCAGTAGTAAAAGTTTTCTTGTTTTTGTTTTTTAAGAAAATCTACTTATTTTATCAGTTATTAATTTGTTACGAACTAATGGTTTCAAAACTTGTTTTGAAACAAATGATTTCAAAAATGGTTCATCACAGGAATTTTCATTCAGGAATCACAGTGACTTATTACAGTAATCCATTTTGCCTTCAACACTTCATTTGCCCTTCAACAACCAGGCAGAAAATGTGTCAAAGATATTTACACGAGACAAAATATAAGCTCAGATATGTCAACTTAAAAGCCTTCCATAAAACTCATCTATAATAGCTACTAATACCACTACAATATAGCACAATTAATGAAGAATGAACTAAAAGATAGCCTCTTGCAGTTTTCAATATTGAGTAATATAACAGTAAATTAGCTTTTATTGCTCTTATACAATAGAGTAATCAAGTATTCCTTTTTACACTGAATTGGATCTTTCTTTTTTAAATTACAGTAAAACTACAATTGTATATTAGCATGAGACCAATCAGAAACAGTATTTTATGAAAAGTTGCATGGGATGAATTTTCATGTCATAAAATTATACTCCTACCTCTAGATTCAATAATCTTAGGACATTGAGTTGCAAACTGATTTATTTTAAGTGGTCAATTTACAGCCTTTTTCTTTCCATTGAATACACTTCGAAATTGAACCAAGGCCTGAACAATATTAAGAACACATTCTAATTTGTTCTTTCTCCCTCTACCACCAGCACAAGTTGTTCTCGAGCCAATCTGGACTCACGACGATCCTGTGTGTGTCAGAGCAGAACTGTGCTTTGCAGGACTTCTAAGGGCTGATTTGTTAGAAGTAGGTGTCCAGGCTTCTCTTCTGACATACCTCTGGAGGGGCTCAAGCCTTCCACCCAGAATTCCATGTTTAGTTATTCACATGATGTCATTTTTATAACAAGAGTGCATAGCTGGAAACTACAAAGTGGCTGGCCTAAGTGAAAAACTTTTTTCTTTAAATCATTTTATTGGGGGATCTTACAATTCTTATCACAATCCATACATACATCTATTGTGTCAAGCATATTTGTACATTTGTTGCCATCATTATTCTCAAAACATTTGCTTTCTACTTGAGCCCTGGTCCGTTATCTTTTTTAAATTGTT